AAGCTTATTATTACGTATTGTTGAAGCCATCAAAGATCGCGAAACACAATTTGCATTCATAAGGGAGTGAGAGAAGAATAATAATCCGTACTAATTTAAAAACACATTAATTATTGTAACCTCTCGGAATAAACCGGTTTTCCTGATAAGCTTTCTTAGATTAACTTTATTTCATTAAAAAAGCTCGGAATTCAACAAAAACACATAGATACTCATATGTTTTGAAATTAGTTAAAACACGATTAAAACTAACGAGACGAGATTGTAGTAATCATAGACGGAAATGTAAACTGCGCTCCCGAGAAAACTGATTAAATTTTATTCCAAAAAATAAAATAAACGTCAAAACGTGTATGTATATTGTTTCTCATATCTCTAAATGTACCGTGTTTGCCATATTAAGTTTACCACCTTTTATTTTTATTATTTGCATAATTTCATTTCAAAACTGCTTTTCCAAACATAGCTGACAAGTGTATAAAAATAAGTAAAAAAATTGAAACTTTCTTAAAAGTTACAACGTTAACTATTTTATATTAGTAAATGACACTTTAGAGAGTGTACATCTCGAGAAAGCACTCAACATAGTCGTACACTTAGCCATCGATTTGTTCTTTGGCACACATCACTAGAAAATGTCACGTTCGTAAAAGTAAAAAATAAGAAACTTTTTAATAATGTCAAAAGCGTAATGGAAAGCAAGATTTGCTGCATTACTTATTAAAATGAGATGTAATTCTCATTTAGTCAGATTATTCATTTAGTTTCCTTCGATTTTCCGTCTAGAGAAACTTATAAACAGTCAACCCAATTTCCGTGATCATCATTTGAATTAATGATAAAAATAATTCATTTTATTGGATGCATAGAACTTCCACCAATTTAACTATTTTTAGTAACTCAAAAATTGTAACATGGAAAAGTTAATTAAGTCAACTGATTTTAGTAAAATAGAATTGAAACGTTTTACCTCTTCAAAAAAATATTTTTAAACAGTGCCAAGTAAAATTTACTGTTATTTTAAAAATGTTTTTAGTCAATTGCTAATTGAGTTGTGTTTTTATCGAATTTATCTTTTTCGAGTAATAAAAATAAAGTCAATTCGGTCTGAACGTCTATTGTGTATTATTGCATTATCACAGAATGCGTGTTAGAGTGGAAACAGTCTCATAACTGCAAAGTAGAAACATTGGAAAAAATAAATATGTTGTATTTGTGAGTAAAGAAATATCGAAGTAAAAATTCGTTTTCGTATGTATGCGAAGATGTAATTTTTATTGGATTTATGAGAAGATTAGCATTATTGTATTTTGTGTGTAATTTATGAGAAAGTTAAGAAATTAGATTTTATTACTATGGTGTTGGAGTGTTTCGAAAGGCTTCGTTTCAGGAGTAGCGTATTCAGGAAAGAAATACTGCATCGTGTATATTTTAAGGCTTTTATATCGACTTAGCAGTGCTCCAGACTAAGATATATATGAATTTTCATAATTTACTCGCTTTTGGGTATTTTTATATTCATGAAATATGCCGTTTGAAAAATTAATCGTAATATTAGTTTATGGACAATGCGTTTGAAAGACGTCAGTTTTTTTTCCGTTTTTCGCAAAATACCATTTTTGTCCGGGAGTGAATACTAGTAAAAAGATAAATCGTCCGAGTAGGTGCCTATGTGTAAAATGATTATGGCAAAAACGCAAATTGGCCTCGTAAAAAATACGTACAAAACAGGTCTAAATAGATAGTGTCAGTATTACGGGATATACGAGCATCTTATACAAAGTAGTGTGGGTTATTTTTCATTTAAATGGTTATCCTGCGTAGGGGCGTCCTGACAGGATTAATTTTCAAACCTGACCGCCGTTTGAGAGTTTCTGACACCTCTAACGTCCCCAGAAAGCCATGATGGATGATCTTTCGTGCAAATAAAACTTTTTAAATCAAATACTTACATATCCCATCCACGATTTTATTCACTCATCAGCAAGAGGGAATAAGTTTTATTGCAGCATTTATGTTCAGCACTAGAGCGAAACGTGATGTATAAATATTAACTTATCAGAATTTCTAACGTTTGCATTCGCTGCATAATAAGTTGTTTACAACAAAATGCTCACTTCGAACTTCTTAAAAGACAAATAGCCAATTAAAAAAGCATCGAAAAGTAGCTTTTCCGTTTTTTTTATTAAAGCTTGCGTCAAGGGGTAAGTATAGATTACTGATGCAAATGTCGTCATGATGAAGCGCAACTTTCTTAAAAACTTTTACATCAGCGCAATAAAAACAAGCTCATAAAAGTGTAATTTACTCTATTATGATTAAGTTTCATTTAAAGGTAATCAGAGTTCAACCGATAACTAAGTTTTATATTAGTACTTTGCTTTACCTTTCAATGCACTCAATTAATAACTCTATATAAAATAATTTGAAATTTAAAATTAAAGGTACGAGATTCAAAAGCGAGTCTTTCGGAAAACCGTCGTAATTTATGTTCAATTTAAAAGTAATAACCTTTAAAAATTTCTTTATTTTTCTAAAAGTAATGCAAAGATTTTGAATAATTTATTTTGCTTGAAGTGCAATTATTTTAATGTTAACAATAAGGGAGTTAAATCTGAATGCAATTGCCATTTGTCTGTGTCACTAAACACAAACCCTTAAACTAAACTTCTGACAAGTTTAATTATTTATTGTGAAAGTTGCATTCAATTAATATCATATACAAAAATATTCAAATTAAAAGTTTTATAATGAAAAAAATCACCGTAAATTTATGAAAATGACACGACTAAATCCTCGAAGTGACAAAGACGATTATGCAAAATTTATTCGTTCAATTCTTGCTTTTTCAACCCTCCTTTCAAAGATTTACTCACCTTAAATTTTACTTAATTTTCCTTAAGATACACTATTTTAATTATAAACTTGTTAACAACAATAACTTGCTGCGTAACTTCAACAGAAATTTTGTTTAGAAAAGCCCTTCCAACATTATTAACTTCTGCGGTAAAACTAATATTTGATTAATATAATTTGAAAATTAGTTAACACGAATGAATTTTTAATAATCGCTAATCAACTTCCGTCATTTTTATCATCTTCTCAATTTATAAACAAAAATCTAATTTTCCGCTCTTTTGACTCGTGTTATTGTAATTTTTCACAAATCTATTACGTCCAATTAAATGAATAATAATTTTGAACAAAACATAAAACATTGATAAAAAACAAATTAGTTTCTTATTACTTCCAATTGATAAAACTTCTGATTGCTATCTTGCCAAAGAAATTATTTGAATACGTTTGTACTTTCCTGGTCCGGCAATTTTTCAATTAACTGTTAATAGCATTCGTGAAACTGCTTAAAGAAAAAAATAAGCTGGATAACATTTTGCTGCGGGTAAAATAAAAGATATTGTATTTTTAATCATTTTATTTTTATGTCTGTAATAAAGCAAATTATTTGTTTGCAAGAGAATTTCCAATTTTCCGCTCTTTTGAGTCAACTGTTTGATAAAGTAGGCATTTTTCATTTTGCATTATTATTATTATTTACCTCTCAAATTGGATCAATTTTTCAAATGCGGTTCCGTTGCATTTAATTACATACTTCTGTAAAATACCACCGCCGCGCTTTTTAGTCACAATTGAACTGGTGTGTTGTATGTGCAAGAATAGCACTCGTAAATGATTTAGAAATTTAGTAGAGACACAAACGCAATTACTTGAAGCGTGTGTTCTTGTGAGCAACGTAAAGTCGTATAACCGCAGTTAATTAAAATTAAACCTGAGAAAATTCCAAAACCAATTTAACAAAATAGTTAGACGTAGATTTGGTTTATGTTATTTTAATTATTAGAATCTGCTTTTGACAAAGCTAATTCCGGAGAACCGTAAAGCAATCGAAAGAGGAAAAAACTCCTTTGAACGCAAGTACTATCTGTACCTAGCTATCAGTAGCCTAGTTGGCACGAAATTATCGGGCTATCTCGTTATAGCATTTGGTAAAGTGTTGGATTAAATACCGAAGTTTGTGGATTCAACTCCCATTCACAGCGGTTGTCTGACATTAGAACTGAGATTACAGCTTTTATTTTTCGTTAATTGCTTTTAATTAACAATGAAACGAATCGACGCGCCACTTGTTAAATAAAAATCATCGAGACGTTTATTTTTACCTACGTCCGGTCGGAAAGTCGAAAAATGCGCGCTTTCTCAGGAAATGCATTTCGCGACTTTCCCCGCAAAAATTTAATGGAAGGAAACAGAAACCGCACACAAACCGAAGCGTTTAATTTATAGAAGGCTAAACCGAAGCCTTAGAGGCAGTTTTGTTGGCGGCAACTTCGCGATGTTAAACGCTGCCAGGAATACCCTGTTATAGATTCTGCGGATGTTGAATTAAAAACACTGGAGGGAATTTTCCTTCTTTTCTCTAAAACAACTCAAATAATATTAATTAACTTTACGCTTTTCAAGCACTCAAATTATGCAAAAACCAGTTAAATTAACAACCAATACACCTTAACAAGCAGAAAACAGTGTCTTTCTTTTCCCAATTGTTTGTTGAAGAATCTATGTAAAAATTTACACAATTACTTACTCTGTCATCATTAAGCAAACAATTTAATTATTAGAACACAATTACACTTACTATTATTTTCACAACACAACTTGCATTTTTATAGACTGATTAGCCCAATTTTTAACTATTTCATAAGCTGAACAAACCAACACAGCGAATATAATTTAAATTTGTAAAATAGTAGACAGTTTCTAGAGTTGCATTTAAATGGCTTATTTTTAAACTAACTTTGCATCTCAAAATGTGCAAATTTCTACAAGTTTTTTATTTACAACAAATTTTGATTTTATGTAAAGTTTAAAAAAAAATTGGCTTACGTTATTAGCAAAAATTTCGGAGCATTAATCTGACTGATAACGCCTGGGCCAATTTGTTGTAGCGACGTGTGAAATATATATAGTCAACTACTACTTACCGTTATCGGCAATAAAAGCTCGTGTGTCTCGTTTCCCTTCCAGATGCGATATTCCGTAGGTAAAACGGGCACATCGCAGGCAAGTGCTTGAATTTTTTCTTCAATAGGTGTGAGAATTCGGTGCAAAGGCGGATACTGTGGCCGTGATTCACTGATTTCCGTCGTGGTATTTAGGTTGAAATTTGCTGATGTTGTCATTGGCACCGGAGAAGTGACCGGACTGTTGCCAACCAAGTCTGTCTTGCTTTCCGTGACGATTTGAGTCGAAGTACTCGGAATTAAAGTTACATTCGGATTTTCAGTCAAGAAACATTCGCTCGAAGAGAAAAAGCAAAGTGACGCGATTAAAACCCGATACCTCATTTTGATTAAGTCGATTAACATTTTTATCTAATTTAGTTGCATTTGGAGAGTCCTGCAACAACAAAATATATATTTTGTTTGTGGATAAAAATGGTGGATGCGCCGGGATATTAAAATCCGGCCAAATTTTTGATTGAAATTAACTACGTAAATTTGATTAAAAAATAACTAGTACTAAACAAAAACATATTAAATTAATTATTTAATTTTCACATAATCATTAAAAGCCATCAGTACGTTCAATTAAGCAATTGCTAATTTTATGTATACAGAGAAATTAATTCCGAGTTAAATTGTGATCCTGGCGCCTAAAGGGCGAGACCGGTAAAACGTTACTGGCGAATCCGAAATTAGACCGTATCTTTTCGCGTTAATTCAAGCAACAAATTTAAAGTTGCAAGACGCTTATTCAGTCTTAAATGTCGGTTAAATTTTCTAAGGGATTATTTTCAACGAAGCGCCAAAACTGTTGTTTATTACAAAAATCAAAATATAATCGAAACTTTTACAAAAGTATCTCGATTAAAACATGGTGTAAAAAATTATTAATTTTCTCTTCCCTTCATGTTGTGGGTTTAATGTGCTGAAGCAGCGACAGGCAGTCAAATGTAACAAACGATTTCAGTTTTGTCGAAATTATTTGAAAACGTGTTTATCAGAGTGTGATTAGTCCACGGTAACAAAATTGAAAATTTGCATCAGCTAAATAAATTTAATCATTTTATCGAATCTAAGCAAAAAAGAGATGATGTTTATAGAACAAATTTTATTTATATTTGGTTTAGCCACTATCGATTGGTTGACCCCAAGTGGCAGCACTGTTCTATTGTAGCATTATCTTTTTTTGTTGATAAACAAAATTTGTACTAATCAATAAAAACCGTTAATTACATCAGTAAATAGTATATACTCCTCAAACCCTTTATTAGACGGTAATCTTTCAGTGTTCCTCATTGATTATCAATTTAATCACACATCGCTAAAAGCGTAATAAGAAACAAGCCGGGAGATATTCGCTTATGCACTTGAAAATCCCTTTCACCTTCTCTTGCTTCCGAAGTACCATCAATGCCGAGAAGTATAGGGAGTGAAGGCGAGAGACTGGAATTAATGCATTAGATGTATCACGCCCCTTCGCAAAAAGGTTTCGAATTCACCCTAAGGATCCTATACACTCCCTTTACGCTTCTTGTTCAACAAATTTAACCTCCTTAAACAATATTCCCAGCGATTTATATTACACAACTCCTATAATTTCAATCTCGTCCCTACCATCAAATTAAGGTAATTCATTCTTAAGCCCACTCACAATTACCCAGACGAAATAATCCGTTTAACATTGACTCTCTTACAAAAAACAAACTGATAAATCAGATTTTAGCAGACAGGGACCTGATAACGCACACAAATAACAGATTTATGCATTTTTAGAACTTAAAATAACGCAATCTACCATCCTTTTTCAAAAAACAGTTATCGATAGGTGAACATTGTTTATCTCATGGTACGCCATGCATTAATAATTTGTAATCTGACTACAGGGATATATGCATACAGGTAATGCACAAGTCAATGCACACACAAATACTGCTCACCAATATCGTGTACATATTGTTTTATGCATTACTAAACAAACAAAGTGCTTATCCTTATCCGAAATTTGTAAAAATTGCGTTAACCCATCACATTTTGACATATACAAGGTGCGCCAGAACTCGCGCCCCAGAGGTAAGGTAAGATACGAACATGAAAAAAATGTTTAAAAATTCTATCTGTCAAAAAAATTTGACATTTATTTTTTGACATTTGACATTTTTTATATCTATTTAATGATACTGATGATCTTGTATATATGTTTTTTTTACAATTATTTAGTAAAGGTACAATTTTGCCAATAAAAGCCACAAATAACATTGAAAAACAATTTAGGATACAGCTTCCTTGTTTCCTCTTTTAATAGCCTATAGTAAAAAAACTTAAAAATTATTTTTCCAACAGAAATAAATAGAGTCAAAGTGTTAACTTTAAACCCTCATAACTTCAAAATTTTTATAGATAAAATTTTTTTAACATTTTTTCCATGTTCCTGGTATTTTACCTTATATGGCATTTTTCTCGAGTTCTGGCGCACCCTGTATATTAGTAAATAAAACTTTTAGCGTCTAAAATTTATCCCAGCGCATCCACCATTTTTAGCCAAACTCGCAAACAATTCCGTTTAAAATTATAAACTTTCCGAATATTTTAATAAGTAATAATGTACAAATTGTATATAAATTACACTTGCAATTCCAATGTCCATACTACAAACGTAAAGTAAAGCTAACGTGAAACAGATGCAACAAAGAGTGTTAATATTTGACACATTCCTTTGAACAAATTAAACATTTATTTATAATTTTTGAGCAATATTGAAATGAAAAGCAAATTCACGTAAAAATGATTCATTAAAAGATTCTCATGATCAAAATTGACTAACATGGTCACAAAAAATCCAGTATCAGTTGAACGAAACCGAACTAAATTTTATTTAATGGTCGTCTCTGGGATATTGAATCGTCGCCTAATCGTCTTAGTGAGGACTTCTATAAATGTCGTCTATTATAAAGAATCCAGTCTAATGTAACTAACTACCACGACCTAAATCTTGAAAATCTGTGACACTTATATATGACACTATTCTTGAAATATTTGCTTTTTAAATATACCTTTAAAATTAGAGAAAATTCTTTGAAAACGTTAATTTTTAAATATAGTTTAAAAACAGGGTGAAATGTTAAAAAAAAACATTGTTCTGACGGAGCTTTACTAATAGTTATATAGTTTGATGAATTTCCTTGCAGACATCAGCCAAGTGGCTCTTAGAGTTATATAATCACCTGACAGATGTTCTGTTTGTTTTGCGCCTGGTCGTGTAATTTTTGAGTTAGAGCGACAGGATTTATGCTGTGTATAATTTGTTAGGAGCTTAATTAAGACGCAGTGTCAGCCTTTTGGATATTTTATTAAATGTAATGTTGAACAAATTCGTGCCGTTTCATCTTTCGACTGATTGAAACTGACAGTTATGTATGGTAAAATGCGTACAAAGTTTCAACATTAATACAAACATCATTGCAAATTGCTTTAACTTAATTAGTATAAAAAGAAAATGAAACATTTTCATTCATGAAAATCTAAATAAAAGAGTTAGGAAAATTTCAGAGAATCTCGGCAGTATCAAAGAAGTTTAAATTAAAACAGTTTAAGCACTTTTTCATAATAATTAAAACCTAAGCACATTAATAGCCGTTATAAATATTAAAATTAATGGTTGTTGAGACATCTCAATTGTTGTAAATTTATTGGAATTTTTTAATCGCTGTAACAGCAGAAATTTTCCGGCTTTTAACACTTTCCTATAACGGGAGATATACTCGAAAACTATATGTAAATCATATTTAACGCCATTTAAACCAACCGTGTGCACATCGGTTTTAAAATTCTCGATGTACCGTAAAAGTATGCTAATTTTCCAGCAGAAAAGTCCTTACAAATGTTATTACAAAAACACACAATCAACTCAATTAACACATAATTAATTAATTTAAAAATGAATTTTTTTCCCAAAGAGACGTAAAAGGGCGCGCCTTAATTTAAGATAAGAGCATTAGTTGTGCAATTGAAGTTCCATTTAGTTTATTAAATGTTGAAAAGTGATTTTCCGACCCATTTGCCAAAACAAGTTACGTCTTAAAACCTCATTAAAGTAGAGTGCATTAAAAAATATATAAAGCGGATTTGAAAAATTTTGACAAATTTGACGGCCCTGATTAATTGGTGCGCATCTATAAATCAACTTTCAAACTTCTTGTAATTCCTCATATATCAAAATATTGCAGTTTATAATTATAGCAGAGTAAATAAGCACGTGTCGTGCAAGCCGCTTTTAATAAAGTTAAATTTTTGAAATAAAAGAGGCAAAATCGTGGGGAATAAATAAAAGTTTAGTTGTTTCAGTTTGCAATATTTCAGAGTTGTCATTACAACTTACCGATAACCTCGTCGATAACGGCTCTGTGTAAACAAACACACGCGCTTACCTACCGAGAGAACAGAACTGCCTGAATATTACCTTCTGGTGAACATTTCATATAATTCTCGATGAATATTGGTCCAACGCAGAATCCGTGCGAGATTGGGATTCTGCGCTCTATTCCTGTTGGATCGGTAGACGCCTTTCCTGCATCCTGCGACGTCATACACTCGCTTAAATTGACACAGTTTCATGCTGGAAGTCCCAAGAAAAGTCGCCGTTAATAAACATTCAAAATGTAAATAGCCTCATCCATTATTGAAACTCGGTGCATCACAGCAAGATTGAGACGTTATTTTAAATTTATTATTAGCAATTGTGATGAGATCCTCATTAAAATTCCTCGATATTTCAAATTAATCCGCTCCCAACTGTTGAAACTTGGACCATTTAATACTTTGCTAATTCCAGTCATCTCAATACGACCAGTTTATAGACACTTGATGATCTGCCATAAAACAAACCACTTTAACATTCAGAACAGAGAAACCACAAATATTTAATCTGTGACGATACCGCACCCAAAACCAGATGTTGCTAATACAGACACTTTAAATGACATTCACGCGCTTTTCTGCGTGGGGATTTACGGGAATTCCCTAATAACTTAAGTCACATATTCCGCTAGGAAAACTTTATATCCGGCACTACCCACAAACTTCATTTTATTACATTCATTATCTTTACGAGCACACAACTTACCTACCCTTTTCCGCACACTCCCCAACCAATTTATTTCGCAAAAACTAACGACCAATTTAACAAATTTCAAATTTATCAAATTATAAATAACGCCCCCTGTTCTAATTTCTGTCAAACACGCAGAGTGGCATCTAACAGACAACAACGAAACACCCTCAACCTAAAGGCAACTACTACCCTGTCTGCTTTCATTTATCGGCTGAAAGTAGCTTTTTTGCACGATCAATATTTTTGAAACGTTAAGTATTTCAGTTACCCTTCAATGAAGGGTAAAAATTTAAAGAATTAATAAATAAAATTAAAATGATTTAGTTCACTCATTTATTGGTGTTAAAATTGAAAGTACAATTATTTATACTTCAGTGTACAGCAGTGGCGGATCTAGAAAACACCATTGGGGGGGCTGACAATAAACTTAAAAAAAAATAAAAAATAACAAATTGTTTTATTGAATATGTACACTATTGAAAGCAAATAACAGTTTCAAGTCGACAAGTACGATGGAAAAATGATTCATTACTTCTTCAACATTCACTATAACGTTCTTATGGATGTCGATTAATGCCAATCCATTTAATCTTTCTTGGTCTATAGTGTTTCTTAATAGTATATTAAAAAACAAGTTTCATAAGACCAGTCTTGAAGCACGAATTCAAGTTTAAAAAACGAGTAGCACAGAAACGAATTATTTTAAAAAAGAAGTGCTTCAAGGTCTTATGAAACAGGTTTCTTTTTACTATTTTTTGACATTTGCTTTCTTTGTGTCGTTTTTAAACATTTTTTTTTTATTTTAATCGATTTAAGGATTGTTGTGTGTTTTAAAAGTCAAAATTTGATCTAGTCGTCTTTTGTTTTATCCAAATTCTCTCAAAAAACACTAATATGGAAGATAATAAAGATAATCTTGCCTATACGCCCCCTTGAAATACATGAAATTAAAATTGTGTTATCAAATTTTTCCAGTGAACATTTCCTGTTATATCACTTATTTTTATAGCTTTACACCACCTTTTGAAATTATTTTCGTAGAGCTTTCGAATTTTTTTAGAAACACTCAATACTCCACACTTCTTGTAAAATGTCATATTTGTTTTCAATTTTAAAAGTGTTGTAATTACTCATTACATTATTGATTTTTTACATAAAAGCAGCAACGCAAAACACTAAGAAGACGAAAAGCTTGTTTGGTCAATTTGGTTTAATCACTTCAGTTATGTTAAAAACAATTTTTTATTTGAGCAAAAAAATATTCCTCTACCAAACAATTCACTTTATTTTTAATACTAAAAGAGGGGGGGGGGAAGATTTTTTAGGTCAAAACAAAAAGTATTCATAAACCTATGTTCGAAAAGGTTACGTAAGAGAGCTAGAGCCCCCTAACAATGACAAACAAAAGGTTTTTTTAATCTCAGTAAACGGTTGAGAATTTTGAGATGCATTGGAGTGATTTTTTGTGTAGAATTCACTGGTGCTATTAGAAATTGTGCACCTTAATTAAGAGGGTGAAGACATGTGGCTAACCTGTTTAAAGCGTAAAATTTTGCTTTGGAAGAAATTTGTTAAAAATTTTCTAGCGGATTCGGATTTATTGACTAATTTTACTGTCTTTATCCTATAAGTGTGTGTGCATATCTCGAGAACGATAAGAGCTGGAAACTTGAAATTTGGTATGTAAGTTACTTGTAGCAAGGGGACGTAGCACGAAACAATTGGTAAACATCGGTCGCACCGTTCGGCCGCAAAGACCAACAATCAAAATTATACGGTTGAAGATACTATAAATAAATTCATGGGGATATATTAAACAGTAAAATGTGATAAAATAAAAATAATAATGGGTACCATTTCGTGTGTAATCCGGCAGGTGGCACTAACGCAAACGTTAGGTATGCTACTTGGATTTCCAACATCGTAAGGATGTTTTCCAAATAAGTTGGATAAGGAAAGTCGTGTGATGTTTACACCAGATTTTTGTCTCTGTATCATTTTTGTACGACGCTTTGTTTTTGAAAAAAAAAAAACGAGAATTTACTGACGATTGTACTAAATTGTGCACCAACCGAAGTCGCGAATTGCACAGGCTATGGAAAACATATAAAAATAACCTTCGCATTTTCTGTGACATAAAAATACTCTTCCTGTATTATCCTGTATTACCTGTCAGCTTTATTCTTTATCCTGTATTATCAATATTAAATGTATAATTTCTTTTAAATAATCTAGCATTTTAACCCTAACTCTCTTCCAAAACAGATCCATAAAAGTTTTTTATTTAGACATAAAAAATCATCCCACGAAATGTTTTAAGGTTTTTTCTTGAATACATACTATACAGTATGTCCCCGGATTGAGTTTACAAGATGAAAAATTTTTTTATCTTTGATTTTACGCCAAAACTGCAAAGGAAAAACATTTTTTGCTTCACCTGAAACGAGCAAATCTTATATTTCAAATTATTTTGTAAATAACAAATTTTGTAAATAACAAATTAAAGAAGCTGAATTAGAACCACATATAGTTTGGTAATTTGCAAATATAAACTTAAAAAAAAATAATAACTTATGTGTTGAGAAAAAATTTATTCAGACATTGACTTTAAAGATTTGAATTTTGGCCCTGTTCATTTTGTGACTTGTGCTGCTGCGGTGGCAGTGATGCAAACTTTGAAAGTTGCCTGTCTACTAGTGTTAAATGTGATTTTTTGGTAGAGGTCGCTGCAATTGTCGGAACTTGATGTTTACATATGGAAGGGAGTGACATCACTAGTATTTACATTGCATTTTCTGAGAATTATCGGAAATCAAACATAACTTGAATTTGAATGCTCGTTTTAAGTAAACTGCTGCATTTCTCCCGAGCTGCGCTTCTCCATCTTTAATTTAAAATATTAGTTATAGGTAAGTTTTCGTTTGCTTTTGTCTCTATTTATAGAATAATGCTTTGGCTATTGTAACTGGGGTAGAATTAGCATTAGAGATGTAAATAAATGCTTAAAAACGCTTTGATTTATAGGAAACCAGACGCAATTTGCTTTAATGTAGCTTTCTGCCATCCATTAAACTTTGTGCTAAATTTCTGGCACTCTCAAGAGGAATGAAGCTTACTTTGTTAATGGTAATTTGAAATTTAATTCTGTTTTAATAATAAGAGAAAACTCTTTTCCTCGCAATCTTTCTATTAATAAACAAGGTTGCTACAAAAATTCGCTAGGAGTTAAAAATACAAAACTTGTCGGTAACACGTTATTTTTGTTTTAGCATGTTGTTGAAGATAATTGCAATGTTGAAATTGATGGTTTTCGCCTTTCTACTGACTGTAACATTTGTCTCATCCCGCAATGACCCTAAAAACGACCCCCGAAATAACGGGGACCTAGCCCTATGGATTGACGAGAAACAGGTCAAAATGTTCAGTGGTAGGTCATCACTCTTCTTGCCTGAAATAAGTTGTAAAATGCCTGTTATTTAGGTATGTCGATGGAAATTTACGCAATTGTTAATGGCAATGTATTGCCATACATATTAGATCCAAACTTTGAAAAATACTTACCAGTCATACCTTCTGAAGTTAGTTATGTTAATTTTACTTGGAAAGCAGGGATGAAGAAGTATTATTATAATTTTGATCGATTACAGTCATTTGATGAGAGTATTTTAGAAGCTCCAGTGATATCAATTAAAACAAAAGGAAGAGTGCCAAAACGGCCTAAAGAATTTAGTATTTTATTACCATGTTTAGGGAACAGTTCAGGGGTTGCCCCCTTTGGAATAGGGCTTTTAATTGAAAGTAGAAAGGGAAAACCTCTCAATGGGACGCCTTTGCGTCTCAAATTACGTAAAGAATGTTCCCAGAGAAGTAATAACATAAAAAATGTATTATACAGTTATAAAGAATTAAAAATTATAGATCCTGACCCTGAATGTGATAAAAAATGTGCCAACCAAGGCTGGTGCAATAACGAAAAAATTTGTCAATGTTCAGAGGGGTACATGGGACAGTACTGTCAAACTGCACTATGCTATCCCCAGTGCATGAATGGCGGAAACTGCACTTCTCCTGGAATTTGCAGCTGCCCACCGGGATTTCAAGGAAGACATTGCGAAGGAGGTAAATTCACATTTCCACTTTTGCACCACTTAACTAAAATAATAAATAGGTATTTGCGGCGAGAAATGCCTAAACGGCGGAAAATGCGTCCAGAAAGACACCTGCGAGTGCTCCAAAGGCTACTACGGTCCCCATTGCGAATATTGTAAGTTCCAATCTATTAAAAATTCACACCTGACCTATTTCTTGCAGCTAAATGCATCATTCCTTGTCTCAATGGCGGAAAATGTCGCGGGATTAACAAATGCAGATGTCTTCAAGGTTTCCGAGGTGACCATTGCGAAATTGGCAAGGCAAAACCGCACAGAAGCAGCTGCAAACTAGCCTGCAAACATGGCACTTGTGTAGACAACACGTGTGTCTGCGACCCGGGATGGTACGGCCGACTTTGCCATCATAGTAAGTCCCACAACCTCATTTTTGAAATCTTTTAACCGATCTTTTTCAGTGACAATGTAAAGTTTGGATGTGACTGAGTTTGACATATTGTTATTTAACAACGAAAATTGATGTACAGTCGAAATTTTTTTAAACACTTTGTTATCACTTTGTATTTTATATATAGTATATTTTAATGTAAGCTTCTGTTTGTAATTAAGTGTTTTGTATGACAATCGCTTGTGATATAGAATATGTGTATTTTTTTAATTAAAGTATTTTAATAAAATTGGCAAAACCGCTTGACTTTTGGTTTGTTTGACCCGACTTGATCATAATTTTGATAATTAATGCGATTACAACATGCACTAGACATTTTTAATTGAGTTGAAAGTTTTTATTCTACCGGAATTAAAGACAGTGGATTGTCATTATTGACAATTTCATCGCTTATTTACTATTGATAGGTATTGAATAGTTCTGACCGGCGAGAGATGATATAATAAGGGTAGTAATAAAGCGATCAGTAAATAACTCAATTTTGATCAGTATAAAATGATAAATGATCAGTATAAAATATTTTTTTGCACAGTAAAAAAATAAACGCTCAGTAACTTTAATCAAAATTAGTAAAACAACGTAATATTTACATAACCCCTGCGCAAGAATGTTATACAGGCTGTTCGTTTTTCGAGCTCCACCATAGGAATCTCAGTTATTATAAGAGATACGAGGTCGGTTAAATTAGGGTAAAGTTGCGCATTTTTAGGCTGAACAATAATCTGAAAGAAAATTTAATGTGTCATTTTTAGTTTTTGAATTATTGTAAAAAAACGGAAATTTGTAATATGTTGTTTTTATTTTTTCAAGCAAAAACTAAAAGACCTAACGTTTTTGACTAGAACGTCTTTAATGCACTTTTTTACAAGGAATCTAAATCTGTCATCGTATTCTTATGGACGCCATGTATTTTTGAAAAGTCTTTTTGTTTCTGATTACAACGATGTATCACACGATATGATCAAATTTTACATGCTGATCAAACTTTAGAAAAAGTGTTTTTGCGAAGAGTGTGGAAAAAATGCCACCGATTTTAATTAACAAACAAAATTTTGAAGCTGATGCATTCGAAACTTTGTGTTGTTTTGTTTTACGAAGAATAAATTCTAGTTTATCACGATGTTCCTATTTCAAAATCTTGACGGAAATGTGACTTCCAGATCTAAATTCAATTCAACTGTCAAAATTTAGTTTGTTAATTAAAATTGGTGACATCTTTTCCAAAGCACTCTTTAAAAAAACGCTTCTTTTAAATTTTGATCAGCATGTAAAATTTAATCATATCGTGTGATACATCGTTGTAATCAAGAACAAAATGACTTTTCAAAAATACATAATTCAAATATGGCGTCTATAAGAAAATCCAAAGTTTAGTATTGTAACTCTGATATCAAGAGCGCCTTGGAAAATACGATGACAGATTTAGATTCCTTGTAAAAAAGTGCCTTAAGAACGTCTTAGTTAAAAACTTTAGGTCTTTTAGTTTTTGCTTGAAAAAATAAAAACGAAAATTACAAATTTCCGTTTTTTTTCCAATAATTTAAAAACAATAAATTTTCTTTCAGATTATTGTTCAGCATAAAAATGTGCAGCTTTGCCCTAATTTAACCGACCTCGTATGTCTGTCTTATAATAACTGGAGGTGGAGCTCGAAAAACGAACACCCTGTATACTATTGGTACTTACTTTTTTTATTCCTAAATATTTATTATTATTGGAAGGTGGTATCTGTATTAGCAAGGGCCCCTGCGCAAGAATGATTTTAGCAAGAGCTGGAAACTGTGCACAAATGGTAATCAATCTAATCAGCGTACGCCACTCTTTGCACTGCTGTGCTCCTGATACCACATTTTTGTTTTTGATCGCTTAGCGATATTCCGATTGTGTTTGTAAATGTCTGAATATTAAATTAATTAGTTTTGCTAGACATTCATTCATAGTCTTTACTGTGCATGTATTATTTTTACTGTGCATTTAATTTGTTCTCGATATAATAATTCTCGAAGAAGTCGGACGTCAGCGAATTTTTTTCCAAACTGTATACAGTAATTGAATCATTAGAATTATTATAGAACGATAATATCACGTTTAATTTTTAATAATACAAATCGCTGATTGGAAAATTTTATTTTCTTGTTTATATTCACCAGCTTTTTTGCCGAAATGAACGAACTTTGATTGTGGTTATTCAATTTAGTTAATGCCATAAAGATTTTTTCAATCAAAAATCAATCAATTCGGTTTTTGAAGTTGGTCAACATTTTGTCTATAGTGCATGCCCCAAGCGGTAGGTTGATGAAGCAATTATTGCAGTGGAACTGATGAATAGAGAGTTTACTCTTTTCGTGATTATTTCACAGTAAATATTGCGTTGTATATTGGAAAGATTCCCAATTGGAGTTGCTACAGGCCATTTACAATTTTTTTTTTCATAGTAATACTAATAAATTCAATTCAATTTGCGTCAAACTTACAACTGATCACAGTAATTGAAAAGGTCTTCAAGTAAATAACACACAAGGTTAACTTGTAAAATTTTAATGCAAAAAAAATACTATTCATTAATTCCAATTAGTTCAAAAACGCAGAATTATCAATTTTAATCATCAAAACATTCGAACTGGCAGAAAAATTTTAGGTCTAATATGAGATTAAATTTTTTTGGTATTCATCACCAAACAAAATACGTTTTAAACCTCAGAATGAAATTATCATTAATTAGGGAGCACTATCTAATGAATTTTAATGTGGATTAGCCAATAGGTAGAACAAGAAGAGATCAAAAACAAAATAAAACAATGTATCTAAGTATTAAAAATTGTCGCCATTTGCGTGACAATTTCGTACTTTTAAAATTCAAGTTCTGAAAATATGTAAGTTTTGTAGAAAAATTTTACCCCTCTGCAACATTTTTGCCAATTCATCTATGGAATGACTCTGCGATAAAATTAATAGCAAAGCATATCGTGCAAGTAATAATGAATATTTTTCACATTATTAAAGTAAATTTTTTCCAAGCACTGTTATTCAATTATCATTGAATTGAGAATAAATATTTCAAATTAGTGGTATTATGGTCGCCGGTCCTACTCTAAACACTGCATACAAAATTTTTCCATTAGCTAATGCAGTTTCCTCTAACAATGTTGTAGGTAATTGTCTACGGAACAATAAAAATCTATTTATTATACTCTTCCTTGTTATAAATTTTGCAATAAACCTGAAATAATTTTATTCGCACTTAACTACGTTTAATATTTATAGGTCATAAATTTTTCACCGGGGCTATAATAATACTAAATTGATAATTCATGTAAAGAACACTAAAATTGGCATTTATCGATGCATGTGGCGTAGGAATAACATCCAATTTTAAATTATTTAAATGTTTTTAAGACAACTAACCTAAACTATTAAAACATTAACGAGAACGAGGCTACATATTTATTCACGTAATACTCTTCTTGAAAATAAAAAATATCTAAGAAATAATAAAATAATAAAAGCTTTTTAAAAATTAATGTTGTATGTATAGTATATTCGTTTTCATCGAAGTAGTCGTTGCAAGGGATCATGTGAAAATTCAAACAATCCTAACCTCTTCCATAAAAAGAATTTTTTTAAACAAATATGTACCCCAGGTGGCAAAAAATAATTAAATTAACAACGTAATCAACATAACGATTGTTGTCATAATTGATGTAATTAAATTTGTTCTGAATAACATTAATGACATTTTTTGTGTGAATCGGCCTTTAAATTAACGATGATTTAGTCAACTTGATGCACATTAATATGAAACAGAGTATACGTTTAACATTATTTGTGGTTTATATTGGCAAAATTTTTGTCTTTTTGTAGTTATGAAAAAATATACAAGATCATCAGTCAAATGTCAAAATTTTAATAACATTTTTTGTGTGAATCGGCCTTTAATTTAAAGATGCATTTAGACTTCTACAACCTAATATGAAACATCAATATGAAAAAGAGTGTAATACGTGGTTAATAAGTCTCTCAGCTTGATCAAACAAATCGTCGTCATAAATTACCGAGATTAATTTATGCTAGGTAAGTATATACAGTGCCGCCCACGTTACACCTTACACATACCACACATTTTGAACTCTAATTAAATACTATAATTAAACCAAATTTACCTGAAACTAAACCGATTTTTGTACTTGTATTACGTTTATTTTACGTATGATTAGATTTTGTGCCATTTGTCTGCAGTACCTACATCATGTAAATGTATATAAATGTATGCATGTACATACATAGATACGTGTAAGAGATGTGCAGAACGTGTGCAACTTATCGACGATACTTGGCAATTCGTGTTGTCGCAGTCTGATAACAAAATATTTTATTTTGAATAATTCCGATGAAATTTTCATTTTTAATTGCAAAATATACGATTAGTTATCTTTAACATAATTTAATTAATTTGTATAGATATAAGACGAATTTGAATTGATTAAATATTTACAATACAATTCAAACAGTATTTGTTTGAAATTAGTAGATATACCAGGTGAATAAAAAGTATGGAACCAAACGTTTTTTGCTTAAACTATTTATTTTTTGAAAAAACTAATTGATGAGTGATAAAGTACTATAAAAACGTGAAGATTTAATACGAATAAAAATTTTCGAAATTTCCTTTTGTTTTTGAGTTCTACAAAAAAAAAATATTTTTTTAAATGGCAACCCACTATAAAATAATTTTTCTCATAAAAGCTATACTCTAAGGATTACAACTATCTGCTTTGAATTTAATTTTTTCAAAAAAAAATTTTCACATAAATTGCAATTTTGACAAAAAAAATCGCATAACTCAAAAACAAAACAAAATTTCGTTCTGAAAATACGGTCACATTTTTTATATTACTTTAATTTATATTAATTATTATTTTCTGGAGGCAAATGATAAAAAATAAAACCGCTTGGTTCCATACTTTATATTCACCCTGTATATGCGCAGGCAAATCCCATGTTTATTTTATTTATTCTGTTTAGAAT